GCCAAATTCGAAGCCTTAATTAAAATGAAACAAAGTTTTGGTGATTTTGATTCGAAGCTTTGATAGAAAAAAAATAGAATGGAGAGCAAAATTTTGTTGGAACGATTAAAACAGTAAAAATCAAGCATCTGTGGTTCAGTGGTAGAATTGTCGTCCCCCACGCGATAGACCCCTGTTCGATTCCCGGCCGGTGCAAAGCAGGAAAGCAGAAAAATTTTCCTAGAAAAGCGCAAAGTTAAATTTTTTCAACTTCCTACTGTTCCACTGTCAAAAAAGAAGAAAACTACTCAAGTAAATAGCTGAAGTTCTAAACTCAAATGAAATGAACCATTCATGACTTTGATTCAAAATTTTGAAGAAAAATTGAAATGAAGAGCAAAATTTTTTTTCAAACGATTAAAGCAGTTAAACATCAGGCATCGGTGGTTCAGTTGTAGCATTGTCGCCTTCAACGCGATAGACCATGGTTCGAATCCCGGGCGATGCAAAGCAGAAAAGCAGAAAAAGGTTTCGAGAAAAGCGCAATTTTACGTTTTTTCAATTATTACTGTGCCACTGTCAAAAAAGAGGAAAACTACTCAAATAAATAGCTGAATTTTGAACTCAAATGAAATGAATCATTCATGATTTTGATTCGAAAGTTTGGCAAAAAAAATTGCAATAAAGAGCAAAGTTTTTGTTCAAACGGTGAACAGTTTAAATCAAGCATCGGTGGGTTAGTGAAAGAATTGTCGCCTGCCTAGCAATTTACCCGTATTCGACTCGCGGCCGATGCAGCGCAGATAGTTTTCCTAGTAAATCACAAAATTAAACTTTCGTTTTTTCACAGTTCCACTGTCAAAAAAGAAGAAAAATACTCAAATATTCAGCCGAATTCGAAGCCTTAATTAAAATGAAACAAAGTTTTGGTGATTTTGATTCGAAGCTTTGATAGAAAAAAATTAGAATGGAGAGCAAAATTTTGTTGGAACGATTAAAACAGTAAAAATTAAGCATCTGTGGTTCAGTGGTAGAATAGTCGTCCCCCACGCGATAGACCTGATTTCGATTCCCGGCCGATGCAAAGAAGAAAAAAGTTTCCAAGAGAAGCGCAATCTTTATAAATTAAATGAATCATTCATGCTTTTGATTCGAAAGTTTGTAAAAAAAACTGTAATTAAGAGCAAAGTTTTTGTTCAAACGGTGAACGGTTTAAATCAAGCATCGGTGGGTTAGTGGAAGAATTGTCGCCTGCCTAGCAATTTACCCGTATTCGACTCACGGCCGATGCAGCGCAGATAGTTTTCCTAGTAAATCACAAAATTAAACTTTTGTATTTTCACAGTTCCACTGTCAAAAGAGAAGAAAAATACTCAAATATTCAGCCGAATTCGAAGCCTTAATTAAAATGAAACAAAATTTTGGTGATTTTGATTCGCAGCTTTGATAGAAAAAAAATAGATGGAGAGAAAAATTTTGTTGGAACGATTAAAACAGTAAAAATCAAGCATCTGTGGTTCAGTGGTAGAATAGTCGTCCCCCACGCGATAAACCCGTGTTCGATTCCCGGCCGGTGCAAAGCAGGAAAGCAGAAAAATTTTCCTAGAAAAGCGCAAAGTTAAATTTAGCTGAATTTTACAACTCAAAAAAAAATAGGTCATTCAGGGCTTTGATTCGAAGCTTTGATGAAAAAATTGGAATGAAGAGCAAAAAATTGACGAAAAGATTGAAACGGATAAAATCAAGCATCGGCGGTTCAGTGGTAAAATTGTCGCCTGCCACCCGATAGAGCCGGATTTGATTTCTGGTTGCTGCAAAGTTTGATGCAAAAAATTGCTGCGAAAAAAATTTAAAATGATGAGCAAAGTTTTTGTCGGAACAATTAAAAAAGGTTAAATCAAAGACCGGTGGTAGAATTGTCACCTGCCATGCGATAGACCCGAGTTCCTTTTCCGGCCGATGCAAAGCAGAAAAAAAGTCCCAGAAAAGCGCAATCTTAAACTTTTGTAACTTATTACTGTTCCACTGTCAAAAAAGAAGAAAAATACTCAAGTAAATAGCTGAAGTTCTAAACTCAAATGAAATGAACCATTCATGACTTTGATTCAAAATTTTGAAGAAAAATTGAAATGAAGAGCAAAATTTTTGTTCAACCGATTAAAGCAGTTAAACATCAGGCATCGGTGGTTCAGTTTTAGCATTGTCGCCTTCAACGCGATAGACCATGATTCGAATCCCGAGCGATGCAAAGCAGAAAAGCAGAAAAAAATCTCGAGAAAAGCGCAATTTTACGTTTTTTCAATTATTACTGTGCCACTGTCAAAAAAGAGGAAAATTACTCAAATAAGTAGCTGAATTCGAAATCTCAATTAAAATGAAACAACGTTTTTTTGATTTTGATTCGAAACTTTGATGAAAAAATTGGAATGAAGAGCAAAACTTTGTTGGAACAATTAAAACAGTATAAATTAGACATCAGTGGTTCAGTTGAAGAATTGTCTCCTTCAACGCGACAGACCCGGGTTTGATTCCCGGCCGGTGCAAAGCAGGAAAGCAGAAAAATTTTCCTAGAAAAGCGCAAAGTTAAATTTTTTCAATTTCCTACTGTTCCACTGTCAAAAAAGAGGAGAACTAATAATTAGCTGAGTTTTACAACTCAAATAAAATAGGTCATTCAGGGTTTTGATTCGAAAATTTGGGAAAAAATTGAATTGAAGAGCAAACTTTTTGTTCAAACGGTGAACAGTCTAATTCAAGCATCGCTGGGTTAGTGGATGATTGTCGCCTGCCTAGCAATATACACGTATTCGATTCCCGGCCGATGCAGCGCAGATAGTTTTCCTAGAAAAGCGCTAACTTAAACGTTTGTAACTTTTTACTGTTCCACTAACAAAAAAGGGAAAAACTACTCAAATAATTAGCTGAATTCGAAAGTTCAATTAAAATGAAACAAAGTTTTCATGACTTTGGTTCAACGCTTTGATGAAAAATTTGGATGATAGAGCAAAACTTTGCTGAAACGATTATAGTAATTAACATCAAGCATCGGTTCAGTGGTGGAAATTGTCGCCTGCCACGCGATGGACCCGGGTTCGATTCCCGGCCGATGCAAAGCAGCAATGCTAAAAGTTTTGCCGGAAAAGCGCAAACTTAAATTTTTTCATTTTTCACTGCTCCACGAGTTCAAAACCTCAATTAGACTGAAACAATGTTTCATGATTTTGTTCAAAGTTTTGATAAAAAAATTGGATTGAAGAGCAAAATTTTGTTCAAACGATTAAAATAGTGTAACTCAAGCAACGCTGGTTTAATGGTAGAATTGTCGCCTGCCACGCGACAGACCCGGTTTTTATTCCTGACCGATGCATAGCAGAAAGAATTTCCTAGGAAAAAGCAGTCTTAAACTTTTGTAACTTTTTACTGTTCCACTGTCAAAAAAGAGGAAAATTACTCAAATATATAGCTGTATTTTTAAACTCAAATGAATTGAATCTTTCAAGATTTCGATTCAAAATATTGTTAAAAAATTGAAACGAAGGCAAATTTTTTGTTCAAACGGTGAACAACTTAATTCAAGCATCAGTGGTTCAGTGGCAGGATTGTCGACTTCGAAGCAATAGTCCCGTGTTCGAGTCCCGGCCGATGCAGAGCAGAGAGTGTTACTAGAAAAGGGCAAGTTTAAACTTCTGTAAATTTTACTGTCCACTGTCAAAAAGAGGAAAAATACTAAAATATTCGGCTGAATTCAAAACCTCAATTAGAATGAAACAAAACTTTCATGATTTTCTTCGAAGTTTTGATGAAAAGATTGGATTGAAGAGCAAAACTTTCTTCAAACTATCAAAACAGTTTACATCAAGCATCGGTGGTTCAGTCGTAGAATTGTCGCCTGCCACGCGATAGACCCGATTTCGATTCCCCTCCAATGCAAATCAGAAAAGCAGAAAAAATTTTGCCGGAAAAGATCAAACTTAAATTTTTGCAACTTTTTACTGTTCCACTGTCAAAAAAGAGGAAACTAGTGAAATATTCAGCTGAATTCAACCTCAATTAGAATGAAACAAAACTTTCATGATTTTGTTCGAAGTTTTGATGAAAAGATTGGATTGAAGAGCAAAACTTTCTTCAAACTATCAAAACAGTTTACAGCAAGCATCGGTGGTTCAGTGGTAGAATTGTCGCCTAGCACGCGATAGACATGGGTTCGATTACCGGCCGATGCATAGCAGAAAAAAATTCCTAAGAAAGAGTCTTAAACTTTTGTAACTTATTACTGTTTCACTGTCAAAAAAGAAAACTACTCAATGAATAGCTGAAGTTCAAAACTCAAATGAAATTAATCATTCATGATTTTGATTCAAAAATTCGGCGAAAAATTGAAATGAAGAGCAAAGTTTTTGTTCAAACGATTAATACGGATAAAAATCATGCATCGGTGGTTCAGTTGTAGCATTGTTGCCTTCCACGCAATAGACCATGGTTCGATTCCCGCGCGATGCAAAGCAGAAAAGCAGAAAAAATTTTCTAGAAAAGCGCAATTTTACGTTTCTTCAATTTTTTATTGTGCCACTGTCAAAAAAAGAGGAAAACTACTCAAATAATTAGCTGAATTGGAAACCTCAATTAAAAGGAAACAAAGTTTTCATGATTTTGATTCAACGCTTTGATGAAAAACTTGGATGATAGAGCAAAACTTTGCTGGAACGATTAGAGCATTTTAAATCAAGCATCGGTGGTTCAGTCGTAGAATTGTCGCCTGCCACGCGATAGACACGATTTCGATTCCCGTCCAATGCAAATCAGCAAAGCAGAAAAAATTTTCTAGAAAAGCGCAATTTTACGTTTCTTCAATTTTTTATTGTGCCACTGTCAAAAAAAGAGGAAAACTACTCAAATAAGTAGCTGAATTGGAAATCAATTAAAATGAAACAAAGTTTTCATGATTTTGATTCAACGCTGTCATGAAAAACTTGGATGATAGAGCAAAACTTTGCTGGAACGATTAGAGCAGTTTAAATCAAGCATCGGTGATTCAGTGGTAGAATTGTCGCCTCCCACGCGATAGACCCGGTTTCGATTCCCGGCCGATGCAAAGCAACAAAGCAAAAAATTTTGCCGGAAAAGCGCAAACTTAAATGTTTTCATTTTTTGCTGTTTCACTGTCAAAAAAGAGGAAAATCAAAATATTCAGCTGAGCTCAAAACCTCAATTAGACTGAAACAAAGTTTTCATGATTTTGTTCAAAGTTTTGGATGAAAAAATTGAATTGAAGAGCAAAACTTTGTTCAAACGATTAAAATAGTGAAAAACAAGCATCGCTGGTTCAGTGGTAGAATTGTCGCCAGCCACGCGATAGACCCGGGTCCGATTTCCGGCCGATACATAGCAGAAAAAATTTCCGAGGAAAGAGCAGTCTGAATCTTTTTTAGTTTATCACTGTTCCACTGTCAAAAAAGAGGAAATCTACTCAAATGAAAACTTTATTTTAAAACTCAAATGAATTGAATCGTTCATGATTTTGATTCAAAGTATTGTTAAAAATTGAATTGAAATGCAAAGTTTTTGTTCAAACGGTGAACATATTAATACAAGCATCAGTGGTTCAGTGGCAGGATTGTCGACTGCCAAGCAATATACCCGTGTTCGAGTCCCGGCCTATGCACCGCAGAAAGTTTTACTAGAAAAGCGCAAATTTAAAGTTTTGTAATTTTTACTGTCCACTGTCAAAAAAGAGGAAACTACTGAAATACTCAGCTGAACTCAACCTCAATTAGATTGGATTGAAGAGCAAAACTTTGTTCAAACGATTAAAATAGTGTAAATCAAGCATTGGTGGTTCAGTGGTAGAATTATCGCCTGGCACACGATAGACCAGTGTTCGATTCGCGTGCGATGCATAGCAGAAAAAAAATCCTAAGAAAGAGCAGTCTTAAGCTTTTGTAACTTATTATTGTTCCACTTTCAAGAAAAAAAACTACTCAAATGAATAGCTGAAGTTCAAAACTCAAATGAAATGAATCATTCATGATTTTGATTCGAAAACTTGGTGAAAAATTGAAATGAAGAGCAAAGTTTTTGTTCAAACGATGAAAGCAGATAAAAATCAAGCATCGGTGGTTCAGTTGTAGCATTGTTGCCTTCCACACAACAGACCATGGTTCGATTCCCGGGCAATGCAAAGCAGAAAAGCAGAAAAAATTTTCTAGAAAAGCGCAATTTTACGTTTCTTCAATTTTTTATTGTGCCACTGTAAAAAAAGTGGAAAACTACTCAAATAATTAGCTGAATTGGAAACCTCAATTAAAAGGAAACAAAGTTTTCATGATTTTGATTCAACCCTTTGATGAAAAACTTGGATGATAGAGCAAAACTTTGTTCAAACTATCAAAACAGATTACATCAAGCATCGATGGTTCAGTCGTAGAATTGGCGCCTGCCACGCGATAAACCCGGTTTCCATTCCCGTCCGATGCAAATCTCAAAAGCAGAAAAAATTTGCCGGAAAAGCGCAAACTTAAATTTTTGCAACTTTTTACTGTTCCACTGTCAAAAAAGAGGAAACTACTGAAATAGTTAACTGAATTGAACCTCAATTAGAATGAAACAAATTTTTCATGATTTTGTTCGAAGTTTCGAAGAAAAAAATGGATTGAAGAGCAAAAATTTGTTCAAACGATTAAAATAGTGTAAATCAAGCATCGGTGGTTCAGTGGTAGAATTGTCGCCTCCCACGCGATAGACCCGGTTTCGATTCCCAGCCGATGCAAAGCAACAAAGCAAAAAATTTTGCAGGAAAAGCGCAAACTTAAATGTTTTCATTTTTTGCTGTTTCACTGTCAAAAAAGAGGAAAATCAAAATATTCAGCTGAGCTCAAAACCTCAATTAGACTGAAACAAAGTTTTCATGATTTTGTTCAAAGTTTTGGATGAAAAAATTGGATTGAAGAGCAAAACTTTGTTCAAACGATTAAAATAGTAAAAATCAAGCATCGCTGGTTCAGTGGTAGAAATTTCGCCAGCCACGCAATAGACCCGGGTCCGATTTCCGGCCGATACATAGCAAAAAAAATTTCCGAGGAAAGAGCAGTCTGAATCTTTTTTAATTTATCACTGTTCCACTGTCAAAAAAGAGGAAATCTACTCAAATGAAAACTGTATTTTAAAACTCAAATGAATTGAATTGAATCGTTCATGATTTTGATTCAAAATATTGTTTACAAAAATGAATTGAAATGCAAAGTTTTTGTTCAAACGATGAACTTATTAATACAAGCATCAGTGGTTCAGTGGCAGGATTGTCGACTGCCAAGCAATATACCCGTGTTCGAGTCCCGGCCTATGCACCGCAGAAAGTTTTACTAGAAAAGCGCAAATTTAAAGTTTTTTTAATTTTTAATGTCCACTGTCAAAAAAGAGGAAACTACTGAAATACTCAGCTGAACTCAACCTCAATTAGATTGGATTGAAGAGCAAAACTTTGTTCAAACAATTAAAATAGTGTAAATCAAGAATTGGTGGTTCAGTGGTAGAGTTGTCGCCTGGCACACGATAGACCAGTGTTCAATTCGCGGGCGATGCATAGCAGAAAAAAATTCCTAAGAAAGAGCAGTCTTAAGCTTTTGTAATTTATTATTGTTCCACTTTCAAAAAAGAAAACTACACAAATGAATAAATGAAGTTCAAAACTCAAATGAAATGAATCATTCATGATTTTGATTCGAAAACTTGGTGAAAAATTGAAATGAAGAGCAAAGTTTTTGTTCAAACGATTAAAACAGATAAAAAGCAAGCATCGGTGGTTCAGTTGTAGCATTGTTGCCTTCCACACAATAGACCATGGTTCGATTCCCGGGCGATGCAAAGCAGAAAAGCAGAAAAAATTTTCTAGAAAAGCGCAATTTTACGTTCCTTCAATTTTTTATTGTGCCACTGTCAAAAAAAGAGGAAAACTACTCAAATAATTAGCTGAATTGGAAACCTCAATTAAAAGGAAACAAATTTTTCATGATTTTGATTCAACGCTTTGATGAAAAACTTGGATGATAGAGCAAAACTTTGCTGGAACGATTAGAGCATTTTAAATCAAGCATCGGTGGTTCAGTCGTAGAATTGTCGCCTGCCACGCGATAGACCCCATTTCGATTCCCGTCCAATGCAAATCAGAAAAGCAGAAAAATTTTGCCGGAAAAGATCAAACTTAAATGTTTTCATTTTTTTTTGTTTTACTGTCAAAAAAGAGGAAACTATCAAAATATTCAGCTGAGCTCAAAATCTCAATTAGACTGAAACAAAGTTTTCATATTTTTGTTCAAAGTTTTGATGAAAAAAATGGATTGAAGAGCAAAATTTTGTTCAAACGATTAAAATAGTGTAAATCAAGCATCGGTGGTTCAGTTGTAGCATTGTCGCCTTCCACGCAATAGAAAATGGTTCGATTCCCGGGCGATGCAAAGCAGAAAAACAGAAAAATTTTTCTAGAAAAGCGCAATTTTACGTTTTTTCATTTTTTTTTGTGCCACAGTCAAAAAAGAGGAAGACTACTCAAATAATTAGCTGAATTGGAAATCAATTAAAATGAAACAAAGTTTTCATGATTTTGATTCAACGCTTTCATGAAAAACTTGGATGATAGAGCAAAACTTTGCTGGAACGATTAGAGCAGTTTAAATCAAGCATCGGTGGTTCAGTGGTAGAATTGTCGCCTCCCACGCGATAGACCCGGTTTCGATTCCCGGCCGATGCAAAGCAACAAAGCAAAAAATTTTGCCGGAAAAGCGCAAACTTTAATGTTTTCATTTTTTGCTGTTTCACTGTCAAAAAAGAGGAAAATCAAAATATTCAGCTGAGCTCAAAACCTCAATTAGACTGAAACAAAGTTTTCATGATTTTGTTCAAAGTTTTGGATGAAAAAATTGAATTGAAGAGCAAAACTTTGTTCAAACGATTAAAATAGTGAAGAACAAGCATCGCTGGTTCAGTGGTAGAATTGTTGCCAGCCACGCGATAGACCCGGGCCCGATTTCCGGCCGATACATAGCAGAAAAAATTTCCGAGGAAAGAGCAGTCTGAATCTTTTTTAGTTTATCACTGTTCCACTGTCAAAAAAGAGGAAATCTACTCAAATGAAAACTTTATTTTAAAACTCAAATGAATTGAATCGTTCATGATTTTGATTCAAAGTATTGTTAAAAATTGAATTGAAATGCAAAGTTTTTGTTCAAACGGTGAACATATTAATACAAGCATCAGTGGTTCAGTGGCAGAATTGTCGAATGCCAAGCAATATACCCGTGTTCGAGTCCCGGCCTATGCACCGCAGAAAGTTTTACTAGAAAAGCGCAAATTTTAAGTTTTGTAATTTTTACTGTCCACTGTCAAAAAAGAGGAAACTACTGAAATACTCAGCTGAACTCAACCTCAATTAGATTGGATTGAAGAGCAAAACTTTGTTCAAACGATTAAAATAGTGTAAATCAAGCATTGGTGGTTCAGTGGTAGAATTATCGCCTGGCACACGATAGACCAGTGTTCGATTCGCGTGCGATGCATAGCAGAAAAAAAATCCTAAGAAAGAGCAGTCTTAAGCTTTTGTAACTTATTATTGTTCCACTTTCAAGAAAAAAAAACTACTCAAATGAATAGCTGAAGTTCAAAACTCAAATGAAATGAATCATTCATGATTTTGATTCGAAAACTTGGTGAAAAATTGAAATGAAGAGCAAAGTTTTTGTTCAAACGATTAAAACAGATAAAAATCAAGCATCGGTGGTTCAGTTGTAGCATTGTTGCCTTCCACACAACAGACCATGGTTCGATTCCCGGGCAATGCAAAGCAGAAAAGCAGAAAAAATTTTCTAGAAAAGCGCAATTTTACGTTTCTTCAATTTTTTATTGTGCCACTGTCAAAAAAGAGGAAAACTACTCAAATAATTAGCTGAATTGGAAACCTCAATTAAAAGGAAACAAAGTTTTCATGATTTTGATTCAACCCTTTGATGAAAAACTTGGATGATAGAGCAAAACTTTGTTCAAACTATCAAAACAGATTACGTCAAGCATCGATGGTTCAGTCGTAGAATTGGCGCCTGCCAC